CTCGCGCGAAAAGGAAGACTGCGCGCCGCTCGTTTTCTCCTCTGTTTTTCCTTTTTCTTCGAATTTCGACCGAATCGCGACCGGCAAAAGGATAAAAACGACGATGTGAAGTTGGAGAGATATCGAGTAAACGCAAGTTTCAATTCTGATCCGGTGTTCTCACGTATAGTTATAAGTTGAAAATTGGCGCTCGCCATGTACAATCAATCTCTTTTCAAGGTGAAATTAAAAGAGACTCAGCTTTCCTCGAAGGACGAGGTTTACGCAAGACATTAATACTTTATCGACCGAGCACGCCAATTGGCGTTTCAATACATGGCGTTACATACATGGGTCATAAATTTTATAGAAAAGTCACTCGGTCGATAAGGTAGTAAGACCTCGATAAAGTAGAGGCAACGACAAGAAACGATACACGTGACGGTCTCACGGACCGATTGATTTCGAGTGTCGATGCGACTATACATTGGCGAGATTCGACGAGGACGTTTATCGTGCCACGCGTTGGCAAACGATCGTTTTGAGGCTGGAAATTAGGACGATAGAGAAACGCGAACAAAATTAGTTTTCGATTCGGTCGGTTGGTTTTCTCTTCGCTCGGTCGATAACCCTTTCGATACTAACAACGACTATGGTTGTCCATCCTTGGACACTCGCTGCGTACTCACGCATGTCATGAAGAATCAATTTGTAATTTTGATTGACAATGAGCAGAGCATAGCTCTATTAATATGAACAAAAAGAATTTTTAAACTCGAGCCAGCATGCGTGGTCGACTGTAATCATTCGATGGGAGCAGTTGATAAATGTGACAACGAATCTACCAGAAAAACCATCAAACGGTACAGAAAGTTTTTTTTTTAGTACGTTGGCCGTATCAGCTTGGAATTTGTATTGTTTGTATAAATTCGACACAAAGAAAGACATTTCGATCGCCGACTTTCAACCAACGTTGATGAGACGAAATTTTACTTTTAAAAAATATCGCAGAGACAATTTTGTTAAAATTATTATCAAGTCTTCGGATGAAAATCCTCTCGGGCATTTCCCTTCGGTAATAGTGATTGAAAAAACGCAGCAAGAAAATGTGTTATTTGTTCCAAAAATGACAGATGACGAAAAAGTCACTATTTATTGTAAAATTCGAGATGTAATTATGTGTCTGCCCCCGTTTTGAAATATTTCGTAAAAATTATATCATTAATCCTCTATGGGCCTGTATAACTTTCAAGTCACATACTAATATATCGGTTTTATTAAATAATTGAACTTTTCTACACAAGATGGCGTATACGTCTCCTCATTAACCAGTACGACATTCTTGACAACAGTTATCACCTCTATCCTAAAACGTCAGTTTTATTATTCGTTACAATACAATTTTTGAAACTGCTGAATTCATTGTTAATCTGTAGTATAGGTTGATATTTTTTTATAGTCAAGAAAAATATTCGGCCTATAGAGGGTTAAACAATTTTATGAAGTGTTGTTACTAAACAGAGCAGGCTAACTGGCGGCTTTTGCCCCTACTTTACCGATCGCTACCCCCTCCGCTGCATTGATCTTCCCACTACATTAACATTTCGATGCAGTGGAGGAGATATCGCTAGCAATCAGGAAAGTAAGGGCAAGAGCTACCAGTTAGCCAGCTCTGCTACAAAACGTGTCAAAGTATGATTTTTTTTTCCACCAATTTCGTTAGAAAACGAACTGTTACGCTCCTTATTCGACGAAGTGGCGCTTACGTCGTGGTTTATCCCATTTTCACCTGGCAATATATTCGTGATTAAATTGTCCGTTCAACGGAGGCATAGTGGCCAAAGGTGAAGCCGTATCGAAAGGGTTAAACGAGAACTTCCAGACTTTCGCGCGATCGAGCCTTCTGCTGTCCGCACTTTCCGTTCGCCTGAACGATCATGGCGACCGACTGGCAACCGCTCTCGGAGCTGATTGGTCGAACGGGCGGCATCGCGAGCCGCAGCTTGTACCAGAATTTCTGGCTGCCGGAGCTCAACGTGCCGGCATTCTCGTCCCAGTGCAAGATCTTCAAACGATCGAGGGAGAACTCGCTGCTGTCGTTGCATCCCCGATTCGATCGTTTCGCGATCGTGCTCGTGTTGGACAGATCCTTGGTGGCGATCACTATGGTTGGCACGGTCAACGACGACAGTTGATTCAGGACGGTTCCCACGCTCGTTTCGTTCCAAACGTTTCCCAAGGACGCCGGGCTCAGGATCACGATGACTCTTCGACTGGAAACAGCGTGCGGCCCGATCTCCACGCCCCCTGAAATCAAGTTTTCTGTAGCTTTCTCTCCTCTTTCTTGCCGCGGGAATAACTCTCTCTCTCTCTCTCCCTCTTTGCGTTAAAAATAATTAACACGTTTTTTTTTTCGAAAGAAATAGACGATTGTCAATTTAGT